CAACCCAAACCATTCTATGATTCTATGCAGGCTAGAATAAGTATCTAGGGTAGACGAAGTGAGAGAATGAATATCACTATTAGTTCTTTAATATTTAATCTTTTCATTATTTTTCAAACTTTGTAGACAACCTATTCTGCACCAATAAGCATGCAAATATGCCAAAAATAGGAAGCCACAGTCTTAATGGCCAATGATTCAAAAAATTGTGTTCTTGGTCTGGAAAAAAACATCCTACTTTCACTCTGGCAACTCTTAATATGAAGTGTAAATTCCAGTGTTAGTTTTACATTTGGATCAATGGTAAGCTTGAAAATCTGTCTAAAAGGGGATTATGCTTTAAAATCCTACAGGGCAATTTTACAGTTTTAGTATCTTACCAAACTTCCCAAAATGACGTTGAGTAAAAAATAAAAAAAAAAAAAAAAGAATGAAAATAATCTATATTAATTAAAATATTTTCTTCATTCTGTATCATGTTTTAATTCTCTATAAGCACAGTTTTAAAACTAATTTCACTTAATTCATCATTAATTACCCATCTCAGAGTAAAGTAACTTACTCATGCTAGATAAGGCTTAAAATTTTAAGTGTAAGTCAGGATTGGTAAAAAAAAGGTGGAGAAAACTTTTATTAAGCCTTGGGAGTAATTAAAACAATGGAGATGCAAAAAAATACTTAAGACGACATGTAATGAATTATGCAATGCTGTGATGTTAAAAACAAGAGCAGCAAATGCACTTTCTAAAGCCCAAACAAGAAACACAAAGCCTGCTAGTGTTGTCTGCACTATGCAAACTAAAGACTGTATTTTCAGTTTCAAATGCAAATGTCCTATAAAAAGGCACATACAAAAATATTTCCAAGTATAATTACTATATTTTCAGCAAACAGCATTAAACAGAAACTAGTACAGCTTTGTCAGCTATGGTAGATTTTCCTAGAAATCTACCTAAACTAACTTCCAAATCATACATTTGCTAAAATTACTACCATTCCTTTTCCCTCTCAGTCTGGCCAGTTTAAATCTCATCCCACTTCTTCCAGTATATTCATAAAAACACTGTCAAACTAAAGCAGGGAGTAACTTCCCCAGGCATTATCTGAATTAATACCTGCATCACGCATTCCTACCAGAATGTTTCCACGAAGAAATTTCACCAAAATACCCTATTTTCAGATTATGTCTGTGCTCTCTCAAAGAGAGAGGATCTTCTTTTCAGTCAGCTTTGCAAAGAAACTTCCAAAGACAGACCACAAAACTGTGGTCCATCCAACCCCATATACAAAAACAGTTTCTATACTCCGTACATCAGAGAATGCAAAAGGTTATAAAACACATACAAATACAGTCCAAATAAAGGCTGAATTTAGTCATGATGCAATTAGTAAGGATGAAGCTAAAAGAGAGGCAAAAAAAGCAGGGGGAGGACTATAAAACTACTCATTTGTGTCACCATTCAGCACAGACTTTATCTGTCTGGTGGCTTTTATGCTTTTAAAGACATAAAAGGAAATACAATTAAAATATAGTGTGTAGGGGAAGAAACAACAATTTTGTGGGTACCACCAAAAAAACCCAATTCAAGACTTGTAAAAGGAAGGTGCAGAGGAAAGTAAAGAGCATGCCAATGATTTCATCTGAAGACCACTGCTGGGAGGACCACAGAGCAGCATGCAACATTACTGTATGTTGAGGAGTTACACATAGCAATAGACTTCCATAATGCAGAAGATGAAAAATCCCATTTCATCATCAAATACATATGCTTTTTTCCTCTACGCTCTGCAGTGATATGCTCCTAAGGCCCCACTGCTGCATTCATTCATGAATGAATCCTCAAAGCACCACAGAGTACAGGATTATGCTGGTACACAGGGATGCACAAGTTATAAAGCCTTTGGAAGGTCATATAGGGATATCACAGGAGTACTGAAAACCACCTTTCTCTCTCTCATTTCCAGTTCAGCATCTCGCAACACAACACAGAGCCATACACAGCAGCAGCAAAGCCACCACCTCTGTTTCGGTGGCTGTAACGCTACTCCATTAGCTTGGTCCTGGTCCCAGGTTCTACCAAAGCCAGCTACCTAAAAGCAAAAAGTAGGCTGATTTCATTTTATTTCAGAAGCATGTGCTCGTGTACTTACCATGTTAAAAACTGGATACAAGCCTTTTTGTTCTCTTTTTATATTCTCCTTTACCTCCAAATTCATGCTGATCTGTTCTGACATCCCAAATTGCATAACTCTGTAATGGTTACAGAAAGCCACCACTAAACTATACCCACGCTATAATCAGGGCAGTCCTCCACTAGTCTATTTTTGGCATGGTTTTCAGGATATCTCTTAGGAATCCAAAACCATGCAAAAGTGTTGCTTGTTTTATGTGTGGGGGGTTTTGATTATTATTTTGGGGGGGGTAGGGGTTGTCTTTGTTGTTGTTTTTAAGTGGACAGACATGCCATACAAGGAGCTTCACTTCGCATAGCAAGTATCATCACAATCCCTCTGTTTCCAGGAGGGTTCCTTGTCAACTATGACATCGGGAAGGCAACATTCTGGGATGTCAGAGCAGCCCAGCAGACACTGGAGGTCACTAAGGGCTTCAAAGCAAGTCTCTTTACCTCCCACTATTAAATTTGTGCAACATGCTTCCTTATTGCAATTACTGTGACAAGTTGTCACATCACCCCTACAATAAGCTCTAATAGATTTCAATTCATCGACATTATTACCCACATTGCTCTACTGCTCTTTTAAAAGAGTTAGGGACAAGTTCATTAAAACTGGGTAAAATTTGTTGGCTAAAGACTTTTTTTTTTAAAAAACAGAACACAAGCTCAGACAAAAAAACTACTAGCAAAGTTTTGTTATAACAAGTAGATCTCACTAAAAAGTAAACTTTTAAAGACTCAGAATATTTCCACATTTCATTAACAAAATACTTCAAAGTACTGTAAAAACTATAAATTTTTAAAAGTCTGTGTTCTTGATACAAAAATATTTGCAAAATTAATTTCTATGATTTTTTTTGTTCAAGAAGCAACAAAAAAAATCAGCTATTCATGGTGCATAAGAACTGATCTGCATAACAAAAAATGTATCCCTATTATTTTAAGCAGAATCGCCATTTTTATTATAATATGTATCACACGGTGGTGTAGTAGCTCAGGATATTTCTTAATATAGGGTAGGGCATACTGCTGAAGAACAAACTTTGATTTGTGTTTTTTTGCTTTTTTAATGCACAACCCAGAATCCAATTCACTCCGTGGACTCCACTTCTAATCATGTAAGTGTAAGACGGTATTTAAAGTAAATAGATCCGGATTATAAATTCATAACAATGCATGAGAAACAGCTACACTGTTTTACAACGCATGTTGTAAACCACCTTGCTTTTTAAAAACAGCCACTTTTTGGACAAAAATCTCTAAGTATCGCACCATGAAAGAGTTTTGTGTATTCCTACGTCTTAAAACATACATTTGGAAGAGTGGAGATTCAAATAGACACATGAGCTTCAACACCTGCTCAGTAGTGCAAGCCCTCGGCAATTTTGAAATGTAATTCTGCTGTCTCATCTTCAAACATGAACAAAAAAAGATGTGCCTCCATCATAATTTAACCTTTCTACTTATTGCTTAGCATTCAGCCAAAATTTAGGTTGTATAACCTATATTCACACCTGCAAAAATCTAAACAGCTTGTAGTTCAAAATACTGAAGAGGAATGCTCTCTGTGGATTATATACATACTGAAGTAGAAAAACAAGGTGAATCTGAGATCTCAGCACGAAGCTAGCCATTTCTAAGTAGTTTCGTGTAGCAAACTTCTCCAGCCATTTTTTGTGTTTTTATAATTAAATTTTCTACTTTCTAGCAATTTTCAAGCTTTGTTTTAGCTCTAACTCAGAACATGTTCACACTATACAATGATCAGAATGAAAACATCAAGATAAAATCTGGTTTCTCCTCTGTGTAGAGTTTTACCTATCCTCATAATCTTCACTGCAGCCTGTTTTTACACCTTTGCCCATTCACTCCTGCCAGACTCCACTGTTCTCTGCAATCCCTCCCCCTTCTTATATTTCCAATGGCTAGAACATCCATTTGTTCTTATTTCCACCACTTATGCACATACATGCTTTTCTAAAATCCCACATCTCCATGAGAAGCTATGTAATTGCACTGTATAACACTAAAATTTTATGCTGTAGAGAGTTTAAGTCAATTATGTAGCCGGGGTTCTAGCACAATAAAGGAGCTTGGAATTGCACCCTTCAAAAGCCATGTGTTCTGCAGCCAATCCCAAGCTACTGCTTTAACCTTCACCTTCTCATTGCCACACTTTCAACATAACTTTGGAGGGCATAGGTACTGAAAAGACAATTGCTCCTGGCCAGAAGCTCCAAGTCTCAGACTACTAGCTATCCAGCCTCCAGAAACATTAAGTTTTTCTGCTCCACTCTAAGTGGAATAGATCAACGACAAACCTTGCTGTGACAGAACCACAGAGAAAACAATGGAGGACACGTGTACAAACAGGGCTTCCCCCGCCCTTTAACATTCCCAGAAATTTGAAGACCAATTTTCTGTTTCTCTCTTCTCAAAGCAACTGTCTACTAATTAAGGTTTGCACTCCCATTAGATCTATTTGGTAAATTCAATCCATCAGTCTTCTCTCCCTTGAGAAAAGTAATGCTTCACTGGCTCCAAGCATTCCCCTGCAACTATGCCTGGTCCTTCAACCAGTTTCCTTTGTGCTTCATCTTTACTGTCCCAGTGGCTTTGCTGCCTTCCCTGCAGCAAAAGGGCCACGACAGACTTAAGCCCCAAAGCAATATAGCATCAGTTTGCCTGCATCACACTGCCCATGACTCCCAATTTCAGTAATGCAAAGATATCCAAACATCAAGTAATGCAACACTAGTATTGGTATGGAAAGGCTCTAGTCAGAGCTTCACGTCGGCCCTTTACATGGCAGAACTTCAGTGAACCAAAAGAAACTCTTAAGGTGCCACAAATTTCAGTTATATGACTATTGTCCATTTACCCATTTCACTCAGAAAACATCAAAAACCCCATAACCTTCACAGAAAGACTAATGATCTCTGAAGAATCAAAAGCACCACACAAGCGTAAAACAGTAATAGCAGCAGTGTTGTAGTTAGGACCACTATAATAATTTCGGTCTAAACTCCATCTTAAGGGACATCAAGCAGATTCCTCCCAGACTAGAATTATCCTTCATTATCATCCCAAGGATGACCTGCTAACTTTGGTATGAGATATGCTCAAATCCAGCTGTACCTGTCCCCTGTTCAGGAGTTGAAGAAAATTCAGAAATAAAGTAGCAGTGAAGTTTCACACATAAGTTGAGAAATATAAGCTACCTCAACACAGAAATTACAAATTTACATTTTCTGATCATAGCGGTCACATCTTCAAATTCTGTACTGAGGGAATTTTTTATTTGCATTACATATCAATCATTTTAATGAAGATCACTAATTTTACCAGTAGAAACCTTCCTCACATGGAAATTAAATTAAAAGGTTGTGTGTGTTTGCTTTTAAAATACATTTAATAATTACTTTTGCTCCTCCTCCACAGATTATAACATAAGCAGAGTACATAGCACAGCAGTAGGTGAAGAGAATAAGCCATCCCCAAGTCACTCTCCTGGAAGGCCACTGTGCCTACTTTGTGAAATAAATATTTGATCCAATCTCAATCCATATCTGGAGTAACTGCTTCTGACATTTTCCAAAATTTAAAATCAAGCATCCAAAATACTGCAAAAGTGACTAGTAAAAAATAATTTTACCTGTAAATTGTTTTCTGTGACTCTGTTCCACCAAACCATATTGATGGGTACTCCTGTTTTACACCTGTCAGCCAGACAGCCGATAGGGTTCTTTGATTTTCTTGCTTTTGATCCCACCGGAACTATCCTCTCATCCAGCATCCCCAGTCGATACTTCCTGGGCTATGAAAAAGAAGGAGAGAAACCAGGCCACTCCTAACAACCCTCATCTAAAGCTACACTAAAATAGGTATTACACAGTGATATGATTTCTGGATTGGTGGAATAGGAAACAATTTGCAAGTAAAATTTATCTGAGACTGTTTCCTTTCAATCCTGACTATTTGGTTATAATAAATACTTTAAAAATTTAAAATAAACTTCAGGGACTACTAACTATTTGTAAGCAAAACTTTCCATCACAAGTCAGCCACTGAAACACATATATAAATTGGGGAATTCTGCACAAAATTTTTTTTTAAAATCCGTATTTCTCAAATAGATACCTTCAATCACATTATAATACTGAACTCTAACAGTTCCCTTGAGATTTCCCTTGAAACAAGAATTACCATGATAAATGCATTGGAAACTAACTTAACCTTGAGAAAATAAAACATACTTGAAGTGAGCACGCAGGAGGTACTTGTGCCTTGATAGGAGTGACATTTCTATTACATCTGTAATGATCTCTACAAATGAAACTATTTATAAAGCACAGTATTAACATTAAAAAAAAAAAACCAACACTGGGGGGGAAAAAAATCATTACAGACTTTCAAACAGGTAAAGTACAGAAGTTCTCCAAATTTCTCTGGGCTTTCAAACCAACATGTACCCGCGTAGATGGTAAATACCACCAAAAGAAATATTTCATCATGCATGTACATATTTAAGACCAAGACCTTTTAAATCAATTATACCAATAAGTGGACCAAATTGCAGAGGCTGGTCTGTTTTTGTTTTGCTGTGTTTTTTTGACATGAAAATGCAACTATCATTATCTGGGCATAGAGCACTTTTAATTAATCAAAACTTAACTTACCGTTATTCAGATATTTACTTCATCTGGTACCTTAGAAGTCTTATGCATTTTTAAAATTGTTCCTCAGGAAAATTTGAGAAGATCACACAAACAATTTGTAGAACACAGGACATAACGACCATAAAATGGCTGCAAAAACCCAAACCTAAATAGATTACCTCATCTACTTCCCTGAAAACTTTTAGGCTGAAAGTTTTGGAAAGAATTAAAACTGAGAAGAGTCACCAATAGCTCATTTGCCTAAAACAAAAAAAAACCACAACCAAAAAACGACAGCACAATAAAAATCCCCCCAAGGATACCAGCATTGACTATGAACTACAAAGGCAATGAACTCCATGAAGATCAAGTAAACCAACTTTAACAGTTAGCAAGACTGAATTCTGCTGTACCAATTTGAAATTTGGTAACCTGTGCGACAGGTAGGCACAAAGTCCTCTTACAGTTCAAATGCAAGCTTGATCACAGTAAATCTAAATATTGGTTATTTATTGGGAGAATCACTCAATTATTGGGCAACCTATGATCTTAGTCATTCAGAAGGACTAATAACAATCAACTGCAAAGCTGTAAGGTCTGAGAAGCCAGACATACAAATAATGCTGGACATTAGGGCAGGGTTTGAATGCAGTATGTATTTTTTATAGCCTGGCTATTGGAAATAATAGCCTAATGAAGCGTAACAGTTTCCTTGGCTGCTTGTCCATCTCTCTCCATGTTCTACCAAGCGCAGGGGCAGAGTCTGCCTAAGACTACTGGACTACAACCCTGTATCCAAACATGTTCCTATTCATAAAGGGTTCTTTTAATCCTCCATAATAAAAGGTGATCTATAAATATTTTGAAAAGGAGAACCAAAACAAAAGAGGAACTGAGCCAACGTGGAGAGAGTTACAATGGGATTCAGATTCCAGGCAGAGTGACTGCATTTTAAGCTTTATGAATGACCATATGGGGAGGAAAGGAGAGCAACAATGGTCCATTCTACCCCATAAAGCAACACAGAGACAATATGAGTTCATATACTAGTAGTTCTTGGCCTACTGGTATGAAAAAATTAAACTAAAAAGTGGGCGAGACTACAATAAAACTTTACTTTCATTATCTACTATAAAACATCATCAGGAGATTACTGGCCAGGATTTCATTGTTCTGACAGACATTAGAAGATGGACAATACAATATTAACATTTGGAAATAAATTTCAGTCTATTTGCATCAAAATAATTCTAAATTACACTTGTTTTCAATGAGCAAAATGGCATCTGATTCAGAAATCTGAGTTTACAGGAGACCAGAAAACAGAAAAAAGTGTCTGTTAAGATGAGACATTCAATAGAAAGGCAAGTTCAAATAGACTGAGCAGTTTGAATAAGCTTATCAACTTTGCTACATGCCTGCCCTCTACACAGCGCAGCAAATAAAGTAACCCTGACAGAGCACTGTATCTTGAAACAGGCAAGAACTCAGCATCCACTGATCATATCTGATCTGAATATATCTACCTAAAACAGTGGCATGACAATCTGGACAAACCAACTTCTTGGCATGGGGACAATTTCTCTCAGGTGATTACAAGAGGAATTGCATTTTTGCCTTCCCTAAAGTCTTTCTATGAGGTAAAAAACCTGAAGGGATAGTTCAACATACTGAACTTTTTTTTTTTTTTTTTGGGGGGGGGGAGGAGAAGGTGGGTAAAGCATTTAAATACTTAATAATCCTTTAGCAAGTATTTCTTAAACTAGGTTGCAACTCCCAACATGGTTACAAGTTCCAAACGAGTTGTGAAAGGTCAAAAACATCACAATTATTTTTAAATGGAAAAATAAGGTTAAACTACAATAATTAAAATGAAATCTAAGAGAAAGACAAAAAACAACAAAACTAAATTATTACAAAACATTACTGGAAGAGTTCAGTTCCTTCAGGGCAAAGAAGTAAGAAGCAGCAGTAATTACTGGCTGCAAATGTTTACATGAGGCAGGGAGCAGCTAACTACCTTTAATTGCTAGCAACAACTTGGCTCCCCAGGGTGAGAAGGGTAAGCATTTTCAACTGTAGCTAATAATTATAACCCTTGCCCTGCAGAACCAAGCTGCTGCCAGCGAGTAATGATAGGAAGCTATCGGTTGGCATAATTAGAGGAAAGGTGTTATATCAGGACAGATAAACCCCTAAAGTCTGAGCAATATTACACTTCAACAGAAATCCACACAAAAAGGTCCCTCCCAAGTAGCATCTTCACATCAGAACACTACTACAGATGAGTAAATTAGCCACACTAGAAAATATTCCTCAAGTCAGCTTAATTACTTGCTTCTCTTTCATTCAACAAGAAGTTTGGGAACATTCTTAGCAAGTCTATTTTCTTCCTACTATTTGTTCTAACAGTGTTTTCACCCCTAGTTCCTCCTGTTTCATGGACAGTGGGCAACACCACACTTCCTCTTTCCAGTTCAGGGTTGGACATGCCACTGGTGTAAGATGTTATGAGACTACCCTAGAGGAATAAATTTAAACAAGAAAACATTTATGAAGATTCCAACTGTTAGGATTCTTTCTGTCTAATAGCTTCAATATAATATTTAAGTCTGGGTAATCTGGCAAATCAAACTACACAATTTCAAAGCTTTCCAGCACTGAAGATCTGTAACTGGATTTTTTTCAGGATCACTCATGCCTCAAATTGTATTTCTGTTCCTTAAAGTGCACTTACCTCTCGTGGGCTTTGAATTTTACATTTAAAAGACAGTTGCTGTACCAAAAAATGCACAGCTAAGTTTGGCAAACACACACATGAGCAGGTTATTGTGTTTTAAAGTATTGTGGATAATCTGAGCTATGGTAAAGCTGTCTTTGTGCATATACTACTGAAGCAAATGCAAGTGATTTTAAGCCTTCTCCATCACAGGCTAAACTATGCAGCATTACCTTAAATTACCATAGCGTTAGCTAGAGCTTGTCGGTTGTACAGTGAGTTGATTATATCTGCATATACAAACAGATAAAAATAAATATTACATTGTCAGACAGGAAAGATTGGGTATACGATATCATATTTTCCTTCTACTACTTATAAAAAAAATAAGTTATATACATGATTTTAGTTTCAATGTTGATTTGTTTTGTAAGACCTCATTTCTTTAACTGAAGTTAGTGGCAAACAGACCATTAGAAAAAAGTTAAACATTCAGCTAGGGTGCTAGTCTACTGAGACAGAACCAACTTTTGTTGTATTACGTCTTGAAAACTAAAAGCTAACTACAAGCTAACTCCCCTGGTACAGATTGCAAAGGGCTTCTGAACAGCTAGCTGCTCTGCTAAACCAGAACTTTGAACTGCTAACATTGGTATTTTCACTTAAGGGCCATAACAGTTTAGCTGGAGTAAGACAGTACTTGAAACACCCAGCTATGGATATGAACTTCAACTCGTTTATAGAGGAAAAAGCATAATAGTCAGGGCATAATCCCTGTACAGGCACAATCAGCTAAGAGGCATCTTAATTGTGATTACAACCATGTAACTGGATTTAGTCATAAGTTCTACAATGTGTTACACCTGAACATTAGGTATAGTCACCAGGAGTATCCTAAGAGATTTGCAAGCTGGTATGAAAGAAATAAGTAGTAGTCTTGTTACTTTTCAAGTTTTGTGGCCAATAGAGCTACAAACCCCTTAATGTATTTTGGTTTGCTGCTAACCAAGATACTCTCTCCTCTTCCTCTTTCATTACAACCACCTCTCACTGGCAGAGAGGCAGTCAATACCCATTTTCTTTATCTCAAATCCTGAAGGTTGGAACCAATTTTTTTTTTTTTTTACTTTGATATCTACAAAAAAAATGGAATAGGAACCTAGTCAGCATGTTAAAAAAATTGGATGTGTTTGGTTCATTGGTGTTTGTTGGTTTTTCCCTTTTTTAAGAAAAAAGGAAAAGGATGCTAACATTTATAATTTTTATATGTTTAACTTTAAAGTTTATAATATTATACATTGAGATTACATGCACCTACAGACCAGCCACCTTTCCATCTGGAGCCCTTTTTTAAAAATTGTTCATAAAACCCTGGGTTTTGGTGGTGGTAAAACTTTCACTAGTTGAAAAGTACCAGAGACAGACAAAAAAAATCCAACACATTCTTCTACCTAAACAAAACTAAAATGTGCAGTTTGGCATAGAAATATCTCTTATTCCAAAGCAACACACTTGATCATTGAAAAAAAAAAAAATTCTTGGTTTAGTCAAATTTTGGAGTGAAAGCTGCAACAGATCAGCCATTGCATTATGCAGTTTAAACCACAGCTAAGGAAAACTTTTCAGGTGTACATACTAAAAAAGCGTAATTCATGAATGTATATGCTGAAAATCTTGAATATATATGAAAAGCCTGAAGAGTTCAGAAGGAGCTAAGGAAAATGAACATATCCACGCCAAATCTTCACACACCAATTTTGCAGCCTAGCTAAGTTGGATGAGGTATGAACTACCACAACAGCTAAAACCTAGCACAGATGCAATTATACTGGCAAAGTTCTTTACTAAGAAACTAATAGCACCTGCTGAATTGAAATAAGCTGGTGGAAAAGCACATTTTTCCACCATCACTAAAGCAGATAGTTCTGTGTAACGAAGACTAGCCAGAGTACCACCCCCCCAAGATATACTTTCAAAACTTCCATTGCTAAAGGAGCACACACTGAACAAACTACAGTTTTATTAACGTTTAAAGGTCTCTTTTCTAATAGGCCACAAGATTTTATATTACTTATAGTGGAAAAGTGATGCACAGTTAAGAACCAAAAATATAGGTAAAAGACTAGAGATGCATGCAACTTTTACTCTAGTCTTAACTAAGCACATGATTTCTCAAAAATGGTATATTTTCTAGCTGCTTTAAATATTCGTATAGTGTCTTCAACAAATGTGTGCACAAGTTTAAAAAATGTTTCAATTATTTTACTGCAAATCACTCTTAAAGACTACACACACCTTGGCATAGAAAGAATCAAAGCAAAAACATCTTCCACATTCAAGTTACATTTGTAGTTAACTGCTTCAAGCTTGTAAGCTGCACCTGACAAAGCCTAGGTGGCTAACTGAAAAGTTATGCTTTAGAAATGGGGAGTGAGGGTAGCATTTAAAGTTTCAGATGTCTGTAGGTCATAACATATATCTGATCTGCTTAAATACAAAACCAAAACAAGCAAAGGCCTTTTTAATACAATTCTAAGGCAAGTGCTGTGCTATGCACTCATTCCTTCAAAGACACAACAGAATGAGATGACAAAAATATAACTCCTCAATATAAAAATATTACATATTTCTAAAAAGAAGTGCTTTAATAATTCGATTTCTTACATACCACAATGATCACTAATCCATACAAAAAATGAATGTGAATAACATATTCTCTCATGTCACACTCAAAAATGAAAAAACATCATACTGTGTAGTAATTACTAAGACAGCAAGAGCACACAGCCAAGGAACTATTCCAATGAAAAATGTAAAACAGGTTAGATGACATCATACCCTTAAAACACATTTTAGACCAAGGTAAGCATCATACTATCTGCAAACTTCTATTAGTTTTCTCTAGAAGAACAGTCTGTCTTTCTATATTCCCGCAACAACTTTTTTTCCATCCCTTATAAACTGTGGTGTTTTATTATTGCATTGTGTAGAATGCCAGAAGGAAAACTTCAGGATTGAAATATAAATTTAGACTAGGTCTGTGCAGCCATAATTATAATTCTGCAGTTTACAACAGAGTGACATGACGTGGTGTTTGGTAATAACCCCTGAACTTCTCAGAACATGGCTCATGCTTTTGAGGTGGTATTCAGGATGCTCTAAAACACGACACAACTGCCTCGGCACATTTTCATTAAAGGTAAATACAGCAAGACCAAACATGACACATGGCTTTTCAATGAACACCACTGAACTATATCAAGATCAGGTATCAGAGGTGTCAAGATAGAGTTGGAGACAGGAAGCTGGAGAGAAGTATAGCTTCCTAACAGGGAACAAAACTAGATGGAGGACAGGACACTCAGAAATAAACTAGCAATAGTTTAGGTCTTAAGAATTTGGTTTCCACAGGACCTGAAGTTAGCTTTACTGTTTTCTTTTAATATAAGAGGGGAAACTCTCCTTGCGCTCATTTAAAAGCTTGCATTTATGCAGACTAGGTTCACAGGCAAGTCTTTTGTTTCAAAATAATTTCCTCTTCATGTTTATTACTGCTGATCCAAGTATATGAATTAAAGAAATATGCAGTCCAGTCTCACTTGTGTAGATCTCCATAGAGAGCACTAAACAGCAGCACCCTGTTCCAGGTGAACTTCAGTCCAAATAATCTCTTCTATACTTTCCATTCTAATCTAGTTTAGAGTCTTTTGGTCTTGGTTTTTAATAACCTAAAACCAATGGAAGGAGTTCTAAAAAAAAAAATTCTTCAAAATACATATGAAATAGCATTAAAATTGTATTGAAAGTTGTTCGCTACAGCAGTTGGTTCAGTCCTTGCAGCCTGAGGACTAACAGCAGTTCTCACCCTAATAGCCCTCCTCTAGGTGTGACTGAGCAATTAAAATATGAAATGGAAATAAACCAATGTTAGGAGTTCAGTTTTCATGAGGATTGAAGGTCTGAAAAAAACCAAAGTAAAATGTAAAAGCAATGCTTTTCACTATCCTGTAAAGCTGACCAGTGATAAGTAGTAGAACCCTTTAGCCTGGATTGGTGGCAACAGTCTCAGAACAAATTTTAAAAGTTTCATCATATATTTTCTTTCTAGTGCATTAAGCTGTCATTCCCTTGGCAACAGATTCTGATCAGTTATGTTGCACATGTTTTTATGAACTGTTTACCAGAACTACCAAAATTAATGCAAGGCGTTTTCCAGCCAGATCATTTCAGGGTTTAGAGAAGAACATTTTTCTAGATAATGGCTACAGCAAATTTAGGAAAAACACCCAAGAAGTTCAAGTTCAGAATGCCACCCTATTTTTAACAAGCATAACATGTATTTGAAGCAAAAAATGAAAAAGTGTGACATCATTATTCTCGGGGAAGAGGTTAGTCTATTACTAACTGTATCTTTTGTTCCATGCTTCACAAATCCTATTTGTGCATTGTAGATTAATACTTACCTGAAAGTCTCTTATAGGAAATTCACTTTAAGGTTGCTTGTCTTACTGCATGTGGAGTTACAACAACCGGACAGTAAATCCAGAAGGTTTTACAGTTGACAGAACCTCCACCAAGGCTCCATCTACAGAAATACTTAGCTCCTTTGATTTCATTTTAAGTATCCTATAAAAATGTCTTTAAATAGTAATCTTAGCTTTCCTGAAATCTAAAATTGAAATGCAGTTTAATATTTCTAAACAGAGAAAATAACCTCGAGAATGTTCATAAAAATTCAAGGACTATGTTTACTTTTTAAACAAAAGAGTACAATGTCTTTAAACATCAAAATAATCATAAACAACTTAAATACCCCAGTCACACTAACTAGTTTCAAAAGAACTGTCTAATTAAAAAGCAAGGATATTCAAAATTACAATCATCAAGTCCTATCTTTAATATTTTATTGATATCAAGCATTTACGTCCATATGGCTTGCCCATAGTTAAAGGGCTGCCAGGATAACACAATAAGCAATATCCAGAGACAACAAAGATTATTAAACTTAGCTTCCTTGCTTAACACAGCTACATATTACATGCTTTTACAGAAACTATTCACAGTTATACACAACACAAACATGCAGTTTTTACACAGTTGCAAATAACTGAATAGTTCTAAATATTAAATATCACAATTCTAATTTGTAAAGGAAAGCAATTGCTCTTTATTCACTTACCAAGACTGTATTATATCTGTCCTCCAAGTCAGTGATAAACGAAGGAAATGCTGGTTTTGCCAGCTAGTTCAGAACAAACAAAACCTTAGCCCTGGGCTCTTAGCAAGAAAAGTCAAGTTTGTTGTTTGGTTTTTTGTTTTTTTTTTCAAATAGTAGATGTTGTAAACACCTACATTTGAGCTAGTCACCAAGGCTCCCTACAGAGTCAATGAACAGAAACACACAATTCTAGAAGGCTATCTATCTTGTGTTACAGCAGCAGGCAACAAGTACAGTCCTGATAAATCACGTTGCTCAAGCTTGAAATAAACCCCAGTTACTGGGCTGGGAGGAAATCACACAAGTTTTTAAATACCTGGCACTTAAGCATTTAGTGCTTTTGAGGAAATCACTTAATGCAATTTGAATATTGTACTCAAAAAATAATAAAGCTATTAAGAAATTACATCCATGACTATTTGCAGTGTATTGTCTAGTAGTAAGAGTTGTTCATAAAAGTGTGATTAATTTCTCATACCTTCAGCTATTGATTTTTATCCACTTAAGGCAATCACTGACATCTAGTCTTTCCCAAAGTACTTTTCACAACATGAACTGAATGTTCCTTTAAACTGCTCATCTCTCTCTACTGACTATAGAGGGAGCCTGGATGCCTGGATTTTAGACAACTCAAGTAATTAGATGAAAATTTCTCCATTACTATTATTATTTAACAACCTTTTATACAAATATACATGACAAAATACAGCCATCATAATAAACAATAATATGCATAGCAAAACACAAACCTCTTTCAGTTAATGCCAGTTATGTCTGAAATAGTATTTGGAAAAAATCCAAGTCAACCAGTTTCACAGACAAATCTTTCTCTTGGTACTATTTTATCAGCGAGCATCTTAATTTGCTGATTTTTTTTCTTGGGGAAAAAAGGAATCAAGTAAAAAAAGACTCTACATCAGTATTTGAGCTTTGAGTTATTTAAGCTTTACACTCAAACATTAATCTGTTTGTTTCCATTTTGTACTGTTTTAATTGACTTTGATGTAATTTTTAATATTAGAGACAGTGCTCCCTCTGGTAATACTTCTTTTGTCTATGTAGTTTATACACATAAGCACACACTCACACTTGCGCACATATATATATACTGCTTACAGACTGAGATAAAGAGGAATGTATGCTTATTTTCATTCTTACTGTCCTCAGTAAGTGGATAAACACCATATTTATAGATGTTTACACCCAACTTCTGGTGCACTATACTGGCATTAAGGAAAAGGGCAATTCAGAGATTCCATGTACATCATAACAATAGGAAGTTAATGTTCTACAACAGCATTTTATTTCAAGGAACATTAGTCTGATGGGCCAACTACGGTAATTATCTTTAAGCCCGATTTTCACCTGCAGGAATGATACAGCACTCCTAATTGTCAACACACAAATAAAGCTCTATCAAAAGTCACAAGCATGCTGATGTCGCTTGCTTTTAAGACAATGCATTATCAACTACAGGAAAGTTCAGGATCATGTGGCTAATAAAAAGAATAGTAAAACATGAAAGTCATCAGTGAAAGTAAATATCTGATGACTCACTGGGACAAGACAATACCTTTTCTGATAAGCCACAGTTCACAAAAATGAGAAGGAACTCTGGTGTAACCAGACTTTTGTCTCTTATTCCAGCCACTGCATTTGTGTTTAATCCAAAAACACTATGACCTGTGTTGGAGCAGGTCAAAGTTGTTTGAAGAGGCTGTCTAGCTCTCAGCAAAAGAGAGATTTCTCAATACAGATTAGAGGGGAAAAAAAATCCCAAACCCTAGCTTCCCAGTAAATTATAGAATGTCTTTCAAACTAAATGCATTTCAAACTGTAAGAATTACTTTCACATCACCTACAAATAAATGGGGGAATGATTCTTACTGTATTCAGAACTTGTTGCCATGAAGGCTAGCAGGTGGCTTGACTTGTGCTTGAAGCATAATAAAAATAATTTGGTTTCAAATTCAATGGGCTAGGCCCTAATTTTCACATTCAAAGCATTCTCACAGGCTTCAGTTTACAGTTGCTTGGAATATTTCTTAATAGCAGCAGCAGTCTGATCTGGTGTAGCAACTACAAAGTAGAAAGATCTTATTTATATCAGCAGCAACATACCAAAATAAATCTAGTAACATTAGAAGAATCATCATTATTTCACCTAGCATTTCAAGTTATTCCAGATCTTCTTCCCTGTCAACTCATATACAAATATGCTACTTAAGATTTAGTTGTTGCCTACCTTCCTCCTTTGAGACACACTGAGGGCAGCAAAGTCATTAAACAAGGATGAATTCGGTGAAGTTAGTGGATCTGTAAAAAGAATGTAAACCAACATGTTATATCTCTAATATTAAAAAGAAATTTTACATTTTTTAAGTAATTTCAGTATAGAAAAAAAATCTTTTCAGCAAAACTAGGTTTAGCAACCACACTGCTAAAGGAATACAGCTTTTCTTAGGATTCTGTGCAACTGCTCACTTGAAATGGTGCTCATTAGCAGAATTTAATAAGTTTAATTGCTGTTCACACCAATGTCCATCTAACATTTCAAAGCCTTCATCTCCAGTTACCTGAAATTAGTGATCTTCTGTATAACACAGCCTTACAAATAATGATGTGGATCTTATTTGTCCTGTCACTGTTGTGCACAAATTGAAGTCAGAACTAACAGGACTAAAAGTCTACATTCTATTGGTAGCTTTTATTGCTTTTTCTTCATCCCTATACATCCCTTCCAGAGTTGAAGCACCAAAAACTGAATAACAATCACAGATGCAACTTAAAACTCCAAACTGAATGGTTATAGCTGCCAAACTAGCAGATGAATGCCAGCTGTAAACTTTAATGTTTTGATGAAATGCTTTCTTCAACATTAATCAATACTCCTGAAAAGGGTGATTCTACAAATGAAGGGGGGAAAAAAGGGAAAAGGACCTGAGAAAACAGAATTTAAACTGGTTTCCAAAAGTCAGTCTGGTTTCTCTCCTTCACATGCATCTCCATCACTCTTTGGCCTGTCACAGTCAAACTCTGACTGCAGTTAAAACTGGAGACCTCCACTGCCTTGAATAGCTAATTGTTCAATGGGACAAAAGAAGTAGAATTAATCACAAAACCTACTGGAAATGAACCAGAAGAAAGAAAAGGAAAAAAAAAAACCACACACACACCATCCAATTTTGACTTTCAAGCAAGTTAATTTTATAGTAGTTACTAGGATTATATTTAAGTGTGCTCATAAGTAGAGTAGCCGCAGGGTCAGACATGCAAATAAGAGTTCTAGAACATCATTTACAGAGCAATTTTGAAAGCAGAAATATATTTTAAGTGTATGTCCTTGCCATAAGGGAGTAGTACCCTCTTCTTTAAAGAGCTTAGTTTGACAGCTACAGCTGAAATAATCTGCAGTGATTCTGAAAAGTGCATTACAGCAGTTCAATATACCCTCCACAATAATTTAGTGAGTATGTAGCCCTGCACTATAGAGACATTTTGCTCAGTTGAAAATCATGCTCCCTATAGCAGGGGAAAAATTACAAGATGTAAAGTACTGCTTACAGGACAAAACTTAATAGCTGTTAAAAATCATCGGTAATGTGGTATATTTCACAAAACCCATACACTCCAAATTTAAGAATAAAAACCTGTACGTTCATTCCACACAATAACTTACTTGAAAAGCACAATAAAAAGGGATACTATTGCGGAGCAACATAAATGCTTAAGCTATCAAGTGCTTTGCAATGGATAACCAAACTAGTATTTCACTTCAAGTGACAAGACCGATAATGACTTTTTTTTTTTTAGTTTTTTCCCCACTGGAGCAGAGAAGCTGAAAATTTTTGAGTTCAGTAGCACTTCAGCTTTGTATTACAAGTATCACACAATACAGTACTGTTAAAAAAATAAAGTTCTACCGCATCTCAAATGAGAAGAGAAAAAAAAGCTCCCTTAAGTCTCAGTTTTGCAAGAGGGAATCCCTTAGATTTCCAAACATACTTTTATATGTAATACTTTAAAAGCACTTACCATGGCCTGCATACTGCTTGGCACTGTCATTGAGAAGGCTAGGGGAGCTGCTGCTATTTGTCATCCTCTGCAAAAATAAAAGACAAAAGTGTACATGTAAAATAAAGCTATAAAAGACTAAGTGAGGACATTGGGGATAACATTTAGAAAATTTTAAGAACAGACTATGAAACCTGTGCTCATTCCCCATTTAGTAAATGCTCTAAGCAGACAGTGGTTTGTAGCTGACAAAAACATTTAGTAAAATAAAGCATTTTGCAGGAGAGTAATGCAAACCAACAATGACTGTATACTGAAACAAAACACTATCTTCATTAATTTCTTTTAACTTGAAAGGGTCTACAAAACCTATGGTTCTCTTCCGGTACATTGTCAACATGTTAGGTAAGCCAATTACTTATCTCCTTTAAACATTCTTTCACACTGTACTCCTGAAACAACTCCTCCCTTTATTACACACTATCATCACAACGTGAAACTTTTCCAACAAAAAATACTCCAATTAGTATACCATTTGATAGATTCTTTTTAAAAACAAAAGAACTTTTTAAGATCTTTCAGCAAAATCATACTACCCTTGTAAGCCAGCAAGACATCTGAAACCCTCTCAACATTCCTCCTAGGCTCCACCTGCTTCTCCTACATTCCTCTGGAGATATGGGCTAGCAATACACTGGACTAAGTGAGGCAGTGCTGCTCTAAGAGCTACCACTGCTTTGACAGAGAAGTTTAAGCGTCTCTTCTTACTCCTGCTTGTTAATTTCTTCGACCAGTCTCCCAACAGGAAGAAAAAGTATGAGAAGAAAAACAAGGCAAGGTCAGGAAGTATTCTCCATCACAGAGAGACGACTAGTAATTTGTTAAAATATTCCCTGGCATGCTTTTGGCCCATCAACCAGGAGTCTCCCGGCCAATTTCCAGGCACTATTCAGCAGTGAAAAGGTTTGAGATCCCTTCAAATAGACAGTTTGCATGCAGCCTCTGCTTTACCGGGTAAGTGTACACCAGCACAAACAGGCCATTTTGTGCCAGCTGGCCCTAAGCATCAAGGAAAGTTTCCAGGCATGTTTAATTTAGTAGTCTAGACACAGACTAAGACTCAAAATTGGTCACTGGAGTTGCTCTTTATGCTTACATTTTTCCACAGCCAATCTCAATGTTGGTGGCAGAGGGCAAGAAGCTTACCGCATTATACTTCAATGCCATTTCATCTAATTCTTGACCAGAAAGATCAATATTCTGGAGTAAATTTGGTAAGAACAGAGTTGAACCAACAGAAGCTGGAGTGTTATCCAACATGGCAGAACTGTAAACCTACTGCAATTCACATTTCTCAACATTTGCAGCTTTTGTACTACCACTGACTTCACCAGAAGTTGCAGCTTTTAGTACCTGTATCTAAAAGAATGAATGCATTGTGTAAAGTAGTTTTTATGTGGAAAGCAAGTTGTAAAAAAATAGACTGCACTATTAGAAAAGTATCTTGAAGAAAGTTTTGGTAAAATTTAGGTATTCAGCAGGTATCTTCAAACTTTACCCCTCAACAACATGTTTAATCCCTCAATGCTTTATTCCCTCATGTATTATCGCCACTATCTGCTCTCCACTGCTACAGCAGGCTTTCTACAATCACTCTCTGATGCAAGTCTTCACTCAGTAAAAGTACATAGTACTATATGAAGCAGAACTATAGCCCATGCAGATGTTCTAGGACAATATGTGTAATATATGTACTGATGTAAATATTACATAAACCTTCAGCTTTTTCACAACTTAAATGAGGAAAGCTGTTTCCTACATGCTCTTTCCTTATTTTGATGCCACCTGTCTCATGTTTCCAAATATACTGAACTGACACAATGTAACTCTCACTAAAAGGTTAGTGATCAACAATTAATGCTTCACACACAAGAGAGGCCTCTAGTGAAACAAAGTGTACTTATTCCTACAAAACAAGGTAACGCTTAGGGAGACCCACACTAAGTTAACAACCTTGCCCGAGTTCAGGGATGCTCATCCTACTGTCCACCATCATCAAAATAAGAATACACAAAAGTAAATAATTTGAGGATTATAGTACCTCCTATTCATACGTCATACTCCCTTCCGGACTAAGCAATGGAAAGAAGTCAATAGTTTTTCACAAATATTTGAAAAGCATCCCTATTATGCATCTTTTCTTGGTACTTGATACACTGATCCTTACAAAAGGAAGTAGTTTAGGAAGAAATTTGCTATAGGGAATCTTTCAGATTTGCACAAAATTTGTCCAGGTGTAGATAAAAATAGTATTAATGTCTATTTATAACACTCAGGTTTTCATAATAATTTTAATGCAAAAGGTCATGGTCTGTCAGAATGGGGATAATCACCAAATTTAGGTTGGTATCAAAGGTGGTTAAGCATATGGCTTAAACTTGGAACCAAGCAATTCTATGCCATCCATATTCTACCTTTCAAGTACAGGAGTTAAACAATCAACAGACTTGCAATGTGAACAGGTGACTGTGATGATGAAAATCGACGCTGGTGTGATCACTAAAAACACAGTGTGCGCAAGGCAGATTGCAACAGAACACATTGTTCAGGACTCCGAAAGCACAGTGCAAACAAAGCCTATGAACATCAACTGTGCTTTTGCAAAGTCAAGTCTTGTTCAAGGTGCAAACGTATTTTCCATGAACCAGGATTCTGAAAAACCAAAGCTTCTCTCACTGATCTTGGGCAGCTCTTAACAACTGCTTATAAGCTATACCTTGAATGAGGTTAAAAGTCTCCACTTCACCACTCTTTCATGAATTTTTCATTTTGCTCACTTTTATTACACATGCACAAGCTTTTTATCTTAACATTATTCATAGAAGACCTGCATGTAATCAGTAAAAGATTTTTAAACTATTTTAATATTAAAATTTCTACCACACCCAAAAGCATTTAGTTTTAAAGAGGGTTATTCCTGTATGATTTTTACCAAATCAGGCTGAAAATATCTTGAAAGAAAAAGAAGAAAAAAAAGAAGAAAAAAGAAAACCCAAGTACTCCATTATTTGTGCTTTCTGGAAGGCAGTTTTGATTTGAAATAACACTTCTCAATCTCTTCTAATGGTATTGAACTATTTTTCATACAAATTCAATTCCAAGAAGAATGCTATCTCAAGAACCTCAAGTCCAAAGGATGAAAGCTCTAGAACGTAAGAGCAACCATTAACAGCAGAAAAAAAGGAACTATTCATTCTTATTAAGCCTGCCAAGCAAGGCAGGCACACACATATGAGAACTTCAGACTTTTTTTAGTACATCATGACTTCCACCATATGGAAGTTAATATATAAAGACAAATTTGTCATAACCAAGTGCCACACCAATGTCACTCAGTTCCATGTAAACTCCTTTTCTTTACCTGTCTATTGCTATGATTTATTGAGGTCTTTAAGCACTAGTTAAAATTCAACTAGGCTGACTGGCATACATCCTGCCCCTCTCCCTTTAAAGGAATTAAAAAGTTGTTTCTGTTCACAACTCAAAAGAAAGCTCCTGCAGAACAAAACTGTCACATTCATCCCTGTCCAAGGATTTAACCTGAGACTTCAGCTTAAAGTTCTTCCACTGTTGAGCCTTCCATAAGTAACAAAACACAGACTCTCTAATTTCCTGGAAAATTTGAGAAATATTTTTTCAGAATACTGTGTTAATTCCTGAATATTCAAGCAATTAAGTTACAAGATAGGAATATTCTTGTTCAGAAATTTACTCTTTCTTCAAACACCAGGATAAATCAAACTCATCTCCTCTTAGGAAAAGACTGTGTGAAAAGGTACTGTGTCAAAAATGAAATTTTTGTCAAAGTGAATCATTGTCTTACCTAGACATAAGATAGCCTATTGTGTACTAATATTTCCTATTCAGAACCAGTGCAATTTAAGGCCTTTTTAAAAAATAATTATTTTCACACAGACTTTAAGACAAGACTGACAGCAGATCAACATCACCACTGTAAAAATAAATTCCATATTAGGTAGCTATTTTATTAATAGTTTTGAGAATTCAATACTTCTCGCAGAGGGGCTGAGGTGGGAAGAGACCTCTGGAGGCCAACTGGTCCAACCCCTCTGCTCAAGCAGAGGTACCTAGAGCTGGTTGCCCAGGACCATGTCCAGATGGCTTTTGAATATCTCCAAGGATGGAGACTCCAACACTTCCCTGGGTAACCTGTGCCAGTGCTCAGTCCCCCTCACAGTGAAAGAGTGTTTCCTGACATTCAGAGGGAACCTCCTGTGTTTCATTTTGTGCCCATTGCCTCTGGTCCTGTCACTGGGCACCACTGAAGACAGCCTGACTCCATGCTCTTTTCACCCTCCCTTCAGGTATTTACATACATGGATGAGATTCCTCTGAGCCTTCTCTTCTCCTGGCTCTCTCAGTCTTTCCTCACAGGTGAGATGCTCCGGTCCTCTCATCATCTCCCTGGATCTTTGCTGGGCTCTCTCCAGTAAGTCCATGTTCCTCATGTACTGAGAAGCCCAGCACTCCAGGTACGACCTCACCAGTGCTGACCAGAAGGGAAAGATCATCTCCCTTGACCTGCTAGCAACACTTTACCTAATGCAGCCCAGGACACCATTCACCTTCTTTTCAATACTTCCTTGGTATAGTATGCCAGGAAGAAGCGTTACAGAAATATTCCCACCTTCTAAAGGCACACACCACCTTGCCTCCACCCTTTAATGTTCAGTAGTGAAACTCAAAATTACAGCTGCACTGAGGACATGTGCTTTGCTTTCATCTCCCTCCACTAAAGTACATAGATACAAAATTCTCATCAAGATAGAGAATGAATAAAGCTTTGCTGCACACAATTAGATCTAATTTTACATAGCGTATGTTACAAGACTTAAGTGAGGGTTTTTGCTTTCTTCTCCATCATTTCTTTTTCCCAAAATGCATAAGCGATGGCATTTGTTCACTCTGTCTCCATATTCCCCACCCTACATCTGAGAAAATAAACACTGTCCTCAGAGTCATTCCTGTGCTATATTTTATAGTATGTCACAAGCTACACTCTTCATC